AAGAAAGGCTAAAACAACAAAAATGTTCGCAATGATTATGTCCGGATGATGGGTTTATACTTGAGTTTTGTCATTTGCTATGTTGCTTATCTGCATTTTTCAACATTGTTTGCCACGAGCCTGACAATGTTCATAATTAGAAAAAAAAAGAGTCATTTGAGAAGTAAGCTAAAAGTTACTCAGCTAGGAAAAAGCCATCTTTCTTCTTGATTCATATGTTCGCTGGACTTGCTTGAATACCCTGGGGAGTGAGCCAAAGAGTAAGCTAAGGAGGCTGACGGGAGTTCAGCAAAAACATCTGCAGGGAGGAAGGCGTGCGGGGGAGGGATGGAGAGGCCAAGAAGCCAGCCAACGACACCCAGTCTCCTTGCACTCTTTCTGCCTCCTTTTGTTCAGACAGTTCGTTTTGGTGGGGCGCAGGCATTTCTGAAATTCTGCAGGGTGGGGAGCTGCCAGGGCTGTTCTTTCATATCTGAGCATATGTGACTGCTCTCAGGGAATACATACAAGCGAATGTTCCATTCTCCAGCTGGGCTTGAAGCCAAGGCATAGATTTACAGAGCTGGGTACACGGCCACTGAAATAACACTCATCCTCCCCAGCGCAGGATGCGGCAGCCGCTTTTATCCCAGCAGGCTCTGGCTAGAATCATCTTTCCATAATGATAAACCCTTAAACAATGGATGGCAGACCCCAACCACCCGAAGGAATCCTGGCCACATGTGAAGGGCTGTCATGGAACATGCTTTCCCGGCCAGCCAAGCCCCCTGGAGGAGGTCCTGCAAGGCCAGGGATCTCCTATGGTGTGATGGATGCTCAACCCCAGAATCCCATCTGGTTCAAAACTTGGGGCCAATTGACAGGTATGTCTGTCCTCAGACATTTTTAAAATGGAAGTCTGAAAGACTCATGGAGACCGCAGGCAGAGTGGGCTGTGGGCTCATGCTCTGAGACTACTGGCATCAAACAGAACTCCAGGGCTGTAGACTTCCCAGGACGTGTTTTACAACTGTGGGCTTAGGGAGAAAGTTTCAGTTCCCTGAGTAGGTGGTCCTTTATAAAGTATGCTACCAGAAACGTGCTTTCTTTATCCTCAATTCCTTTAGCATCCACCCTACCACTCTGCAATCCTCTTATTAAGGTTTCTATTTAATCAAGGAACCGATTTCACAAGATTATAAATACCTCTGGAACAGGGTCACATCAGCAACGACTTCTCAAGTGTGATTGAATTTATTGCGGCAGATTCCTGCTAGCTCACATATGTGCCCTGCAGCGAGTGATCGATATCAGCCCACTCTAACAGTGGGGAGGGAAGGGGTCCTATTAAAGCTTTGCCTCAGGAAAGCAGGCCTAGGAGGGTTCTCGAAGAGAAGGCCAAGAATGAGGCTACTTGAAGGAGAGGTGGCTGGGGAACCCAGACGACGTACAGTCAGTCCTCATTATTCACAGACTCCATATTTGCAAATTGACCCACTCATTAAAATTTATTTATAAACTTCAAAGTCAATAACTCTTGGCGTTTTTGCAGTCACTGATGGGCTTGAACAGAGCAGGGACAATTCTGAGTGTCCTGACCACAGGTTCCCAGCTGAGGTTGGACAAGGAGATGCGCACCTTCCTGATTCAGCTCTGATAGCGTAAACAAGCAACCTTTGGGGAAACATAGAGTGCTGTGTTTTTGCATTTTGGTGTGTTTGTTGATTTCACTGTTTAAAACGGCCCCCAAGCAGAGTGCTACAATGCTGTCTGGTATTCCTTTGCACAAGAAGGCAGTGATGTGCCTTACAGAAAAAGAAGAAAAAAGTGAATTAGATAAGCTTCATTCAGACATGAGTTCCAGAGCTGTTGGCTGGTAGCTCAGTGTTAGAGTCGTAATATACATTAAATAATGTGCCTTCAAACAGAAACAGACAAAACGAGGTTATGTACTGATTGTTGATGACAGAGTTGTGACCAGAGGCTTGCAGGAGCCTAGCCCTGCATTTCCCCTCAGGGCAGAGGTTTGGTATTTGCTAATTGGAGGTGTTCAGGGCAACCTTACAGAACATTACCGCAAATAATGAGAATCGACTGGGCTCTGAAATTTTGGAAGGAGGAGAAACGGCAAATGGTAAATAACTGTCCGTAGTAATAAAATAAATGACATCATTTGTATCTTCCTGTTATTCCCATGAGAAAAGATGAATGAGCGCCTCAGCTTGGCAGTCTGTAAACTTCATCAAAATCTAGAATTCCTGGGACAATATCGATGTCCCATAAAGATCCTAAAATTCCTCTTTCACGTCCCCCAAGGAGTCACTCAGGGCAGCAGTCCCTCCCTGTGAGGATAACCTCATGCACCGACATGCCCTGGTGGTACTCACTGTGCGGAACCAAGAGTCCAAAAAGGCTGAGAAGCCTCTACCTAGAAAGATTTAGCCCATTTTACCTTAATCTTTGCCTATAATTTTCATAATTTTATTTTATATGACAGACTCATTTCTCTGCAATGCCACTATATTTTTTTGCAATGCCATTTTTAAATAACTACAAGAACAATCCTTTACTGATGGACAGTATTTCTAACACCTCTGTTATTAAAGAATTCTCTCTCCCAGATTTAGATACGGACCGGAAGTACCGCCCTCTCTGTGAGGACCCTGGATGCTGATTTACCAGTCCTAAGTGTGGGTTCCCACAAGCCCCACCCCCGGGGTGGAGGAGGGGTGGATTAATGCTAATTGACACACGTGTCCATCACACAATGTATACTGAAGTTAACAGTCCTAGACTCAGTAGTGCTGGAGTCTAACAAGCTTGTCTGGGGAAGAAGAAGATTCAGCTGACTGGTAACATCCACTTAGGGTGAGTACACAAGTGGTGCAGCGAAAACCGGGCATCAGAAGAGACAGAGGTCAAGTGGTGCTTATGAGACAACACGGCCAGGTCTGCGGGGGGTGGGGGTGGGAGTGGAGCGGGTTGGCTGATGCTGAAGGAAGGGACAAGAAGCCTGAATCAGGAGTAGAGAGAGGATCAACAGCCTTGTGGGGAATACGCTTAGGTGACCAGGTGTGACCCTCGGGGTGGGACTGGCCAAGGTTGCCAGGGGAACAATTCCTTCCTGAAAGGGATGGAGCCGAGCCCTGGAGGAACACTGCGTGCCTGCTCGAGGTCCACAGAATTCATTCCTCCTGCAAACAATGAGATTGCTATAAAAGGCTGCTCTGGTTGGAGTTGGAGCCAGGAGCTACAACTGGCAGATAGATGGGAAGACACAGGTGAGGGGGAGAAGGGGCAGCCAAGCTGGGAGCCAGCCGCTCTGGTCTGAAAACTCCTGCAGGAGCGGCGTGGCTAGAGATCCAAGACCCAGGTAGCCAGGCATTTAAGCCAGCTGGGTCAGTCCTTTCTTTTGGTCTGGGGAGAAGACTGGCTTTTTAAGAGCCCATGGTTTTACTGTAGGACAAATGGAAATACCTAACTAGAGAAATGGAATTACAATGTGCAAAGAGGGGCGTGAGACATATTCATGTTACCAGTGGATTACTGAATGGATTTATATCAGAGAGCTTAACTTTTCCCTCTTCAGGGGACCAGATGAAAACTAATTCCATGTAATTCCTCTGGTGTTATATTTAACTCAAAGACACAATAGATTTTAAACCAAATATCCTCCATGCAGAAAAAAATTTCCAAGAAGGCAAGGCAGGGAGAGGAGCCTTATTATTCCCTTTTGTCAGTCTTTTAATCCAAACTTGACAAGCAGTTTCCTGTCATTTTAGGGTTTTTCAGAAAAACAGAAGCAATAGGAGATAGATAGATAGATAGATAGATAGATAGATAGATAGATAGATAGATATTCCATAATACTGAATTGCATCACTGGCTTTCCTGGGACTCCAGCTTGCACATGGCAGCTCTTGAGGCTTCTCTTCCTCCATAATTGCAGAATCCATTTCCTTATAATGAATCTTGGGCTGCAGGCTAGAACCGCAGGAAAGCCGATGGTGTGATGCAGTCTGAGTCTAAAGACCCGAGAATCAAGGGAGCCGATGTCCAAGAGTGAGAGATGATGAGATGACCAGTTCAAACACTGAGACAGAAAAAGGGAGCATGAGATAGTGAAGGAGCCTGCCCTGGGGCTGGAGGTGACAGCAGAGAGTCAGCTGGCAGCGCATCATGCAGACCTGTAAGACATGGTAAGGAGATTTGTCTAACCCAGAGGTCGGTGAGATGCCTTTCCATGTTTTCAGCTGATAAGTTCCTTTCTTGGATTTGGGCTTTCCAAAAAGCATGCTGGCTGTAGTGTAGAAAATGCATTAGAGCAGACTTTTCACGGTTGTATGTTAGAATCACCTGGGGAGCTTTGAAAAACACCACTGCTCACCCCCTACACCAGCCAGTTAAAAAGCATCTCTAGGGAGAGCTTCTCAAAGTGTGGTCCTTGGACCAACAGCAGCTGCAGCACTTAGGACCTTGTCAGACATGCAAATTCCCATGCCCCAGTCCAGATTTACTGAATCAGGGACTCTGAGGGTGGGCCCAGCCGTCTGGGTTTTAACAAGCAGCCCCCAGGTGACTCTGAGGCAGCTAATGTTTGAGAACGACTGTAGAAGGAAAAAGGTAGGGAAGAGAGAGAGGGTCTGCTTTACCAGTTAGGAAGCAGAGAGATGATGGTGCTGTTGGTTCCCACATTAACTTTGTCGAGCAATGGAGAACATCATCCTGACAGAGTCCCAGTGGCGTCTCAAAGCAGGGAGTTTAGGATGCTGGTTGATCATGGGGTAATTTCTGTGTGGAAGTTTTTAACTGACATTTGGGCAGAGACTGGTCCGATGTATAACCCAGGTAAGTTTCCGTGTTGTGGACTGAATTGTGTCCCCCTAAAATCCATGTTGAAGTCCCCCCACCCCGCCTCAGTGTGATGGTGTTTGGAGATGGAGCCTTTGGGAGGTAATTAGGTTCAGATGAGGTTGTGGGGGTGGGGCCCTCATGATGAGTCAGTGCCCTTATAAGAAAAGCTGTCGAGAGCTCTCATTTTCTCTCTCCCTCTCTCTTCCCACCACATATGAGGACAGAGAGAGAAAGCAGCCACAGGCCAGAAGAGCACTCTCACCAGGAACCGACCACGCCAGCATCTCCGTCCTGGACTTCCCAGCCTCTGGAATGGTGAAGTAAGCAAATTTCTGTTGTTTAAACCACCCGATCTATGGTATTTTGTTATGGCAGCCTGTGCTAAGACATTTCTGGAACAGTAGTTTTTGTTGAGACACATAGGTCCCTGTGGAGTTACTGTTAAAACACATCGTGCTCTTTTCTTGGAACACGTGGGTCTGGACAAGTTTTAGCTGTAACTAACGGAGCTCAGATAGCTTGTGTTGTGAGTGATCAATTTTGCGACTGTGACTTCTGTTTCATTTTTCAGTTCTCTAAACTAACGCAGTGGTCTGAGTAATTGGAATTGAAAGACTATATAATGGGGTTGCCAGATAAAATACAGGGTGCTCAGTTAAATGTGAATTTCAGATACACAGCAAATAATTTTTTACTATAAGTATGCACCAAATAGTGCATGGATTATACTTACAGTAAAAAATAATACATTGTTTGTCTGAAATTAAAATGTAAGTGGGTGTCCTGTATTTTTGTCTGCTCAACTGGAAACTCTAACCTGTAAAAAATCAACACAGATAGATGAATAAATATTCATTCATCAAATGGATGATGTGGTTGATCTGATGTATCAGGTGAGGGGTGTGATGAGTTGGTGATGCCTTACAGGTGTCCGGTTGGAAACTGAGTAGTCTTTGTGCCCTATAGGAACATAAGGGACCCTGAGGAAAAGCTGATTGAGGAGGAAGGGCAAAGTGATGAGTTACATTGTGGACATGCTGAGATTAAGGTCTTTCTGGAGCTTATAAGGAGTCGTAACCAGCAGGCTGTTGGAGATACAGGTCTGGAGCTCAGGAGAAAGATCAAAATCGAATCATAGATCTGGGAATCCTAAGCACTTGGGTGGTAGAGAAGCTCTGGTTGTGGCTGAGATCACAGAGAATAGGCCACATAGAAAGAAAAAGCCTCGGACGAGGCTTGAAGGAATTCTGACGTTTGAATAGCACGTTTGCATAGCCTGAGAATTGAGTGAGGCCAAGAGCGAGATGTCACAGGAGCTCAGGAAGGCAGATTCGAGAAGGGGAAGCAGGATTCTGCAGTGACAGATACTACAAAGAAGGAAGTGCTAGAGATGGCAAGGAGGTCGCTGGTGACCCTGATGAGACACAAGTCGAAGGATGGTTGTTAGTACCAGTCAGTAGAGTGGATTTACATGCCGAAGGGAAGGAGGTAAGAAAAGAGGGAGACGTTGAAGACCAAAGAGGAGACAGACTGAGGTTCCTGAGGTTATTGGGAGACTAGATGCAGAGCCCGGGGGAAGGGCTTCTTTACACAGAAAAGGGAGCCCTTTTCTGTTCAGACGGGAAGGAGGGTGGAGGGATGGCGGTACCCGCGGGTGGGCTCGGGGGAAGGAGAGTGTGGCAGGAGCTCTGTGCACAGACCCTCGGCAAACTCTCTTTTGTGACCTGTTCATGTCAGTTGTACTCAGCGTATTGGACACTGCAAAGGGATGGAATAAGAGTTAAAAATAAAATGGTTGTTTTTATGAAAAAAAATGGTTGCTTTATGTTTTTTATAAAAGCCAAGCTTTGGAAAAAATCTGAAAACAGTAAGTTGCTCTGTTTTTTGTTCTTGTTCTTGTTCTTTGTTAAAATAGTTGTGGGTAAGGTAGCTGTAAATGTTTGGATTGAAAACAGAAACAAAAATAAAAAACCTAGCAGCATTTTGCACTCATACTGCTTTACCTGAAGAAATTCAGTCAAATTGGACAACACAAATGCTAAAACATTGGCATGGTTTCTGCAGAACTCCAGTTAACGCACCCCCTCAAAAATGCCGCGGTCCTAACTCAGAATATTAACAAATGGAGGCATACTTTTTAGGTTAAAACAAAATGTTTGTTATACGTATATCATTTTAAAGTGTCTCCCTATGTGGTTTTTCAAGTGTATTCACAAGAGTTCTTTCTAGTTTTATGGTTATATGATTGACAAAAATTGCATATATTTAAGGTGTACAGTGTGGTTTGATATATGTATACACTGTGAAATGATTACCATAATCAAGCTAATGAACGTTCATCATCACAGAGCTATCATTTTTATGTGTGTTTTGAGAAATCTGCTAAGAGAGCAGATTTCAAGTATACACTATGTTATTAGCTATAGTCACCATGCTGTACCTTAGGTCTCCAGAATGTATTCATCTTCGAACTGAAGTTTGTACCCTTTGACCAACATCTCCCCTTTTCTCCCACACCTCTGCCCCTGGTAATGACCATTCCACTCTCTGTTACTCTGAGCTCTACTTTGTAGATTCTGCGTATGTGTGGGATCATTCAGCATTTGTCTTTTTGGGTCCGGCTTATCACTAAGCATAATGTCCGCCAAGTTCAAAGCCTTACCACAAATCGCAGGATTTTCTTCTTTTTTAATGGTTGAATATTACATATACCATATTTTCTCTATTCATTCTGTTGATGGACAAAAACACAGATTATTTGTTTCCATATCTTGGCTACTGTGAATAAGCTGCAGTGAATGCAGGGGTGCAGATAACACTTTGAGATACTAATGTCTTTTTCTTTGATCATATGATACTTGGAAATGGGATTGCTGGATCACATGATAGTTCTATTTTTAATTTTTTTAAGGACCCGCCATACTGTTTTCCAATTGGTTGTACCAATTCACCTTCCCAACCAGCAGTGTACAACAGCTCCCTTTTCTCCACATCCTCACCAACACTTGTTATGGCTTGTCTTTTTGATGATAGCCGTTCTGACAAATGTGAACTGATAATGTCATTGTGGTTTTGATTGGCATTTCCTTGATAATTAGTGATGTTGAGCATCTTTTCATATTTTTGTTGGTTATTTGTATGTCTTCTTTGGAAAAATATCTATTCAGGTCCTTTGCCCGTTTAAAAAAAATTGGTTTGTTTGGTTTTTTGCTGTTGAGTTCTATGAGTTCCTAGTATATTATTAGATATATAATTTGCAAATGTTTTACCTCATTCTGTAGGCTGCCTTTTCATTTTGTTGATGGTTTCCTTTGCTGTACAAAAGTGTTTTTTGTTTGTTTGTTTGTTTTTTAGTTTGATGTGGTCCCACTTGTTTATTTTGCTTTAGTTGCCTTTACTTTTCGGTGCCAAATCCAACAACTCATTGCAAAGACTGATGTCAAGGAGCTTACCCTCTGTTTTCTTCCAAGAGTTTTATGGTTTCAGGTCTTACATTCAAGTGTTTAATTCATTTTGAGCTGACTGTTGTGTACGGTGTAAGGTAGGGATTCAGTTTCATTCTTTTGAATGTGGCTGTTGACTTTTCCCAACACAATTTACTGAAGGGACTCTCCTTTCGCCTTGTATATTCTTCTTTGTCAAAAATTAATTGACCATGTATAGGTTTGTTTCTGGATTCTCTATTTTGTTCCATTGATCCATGTGTCTGTTTTTATGCCAGTCCTATACTGTGCTGATGACTGTAGATTTGTAATATAATTTGAAATCAGTAAGTGTGATGCCTAGAACGTTTTTCCTCTCTAGATTATCTTGGCTGCTCAGATTCTTTTGTGGCTCCATACAAATTTTAGGATCATCTTTTCTATGTCTGTGAAAGATGCCATTGGAGTTTTGATAGAGATTGTATTTATTCTGAAGATTGTTTTGGGTAGTATGAACATTTTTTTTTAATTGAAGTACAGTCAATTACAATGTGTCAATCTCTGGTGTACAGCACAGTGTCCCAGTCTTGCATATACATACATGTATTTGTTTTCATATTTTTTCCATTAAAGGTTATTACAAGATACTGAGCATAGTTCCCTGTGCTACACACAAGAAACTACTTTTTAATCTATTTTTATATATAATGGTAAATCTCAAACTCCCAAATTTATCCCCTCCCACCCCCTTTCCCTGGTAACCATAAGATTGTCTGCTAAGTCTCTGAGTCTGTTTCTGTTTTGTAGATGAGTTCATAGTGGCCTTAAAGGCCAAGTGTGTTTCTTGTAGGCAACATATAGTGAGTCTTTTTTTAAAATCCATTCAGCCACTCTGTCTTTTAGATAATTCAGTCCATTTACATTTGACTAATTATTTATAGATATGGCCATTTCGGTAATTGGTTTCTGATTGTTTTATCCATACCTGGAATTTTCTGGAGTTCAGTGAGGCTGAAGAACAATGGGGCGAGGGCACTGAGCATTGACAAAGAGTAGCCTTCGAGCACCAGTCCAGGTATGGAAGGAAGTAAAGACTGTGTTTTGGGGGAGAAGAGGGGGCGGCTGAGGGGAGGGGATAAACAAGGAAAAATGAGAGGGATCAAAGGAGTCGTGGTTTTAATGAAAGTAAGGAATAGGAAGGGTGATTTTTTTTTTCTACCTCCCTGTACCAAAAAGAGGAAGATCTCTCTCTAGAGCAATGGCTCTCAACTTGGAGGAGAGGAGAGGGATTTTGCGCCCCCTTCTCCAGAAGACATTTGACAATGCCTGGAGACATTTTTGGTTGTCACCATGGGGCCTCCTACTGGCAGCTAGTGGGTAAAGGCCAGGGGTGCTACTGAGCATCTCACAGTATATAGTATAACCTCTCCTCACAAAGAATTACCCAGCCAAAGATGTCAATAGTGACAAGGTGCAGAAACTCTGCCCCCAGACAGAGTATCACTATAATCTGAAAACTCTGAAATGTCTCCCCAAATGGAAACAGTATCCAGGATTGTTCTTTCAATGCCTGGCTAGGGAACCCAGTTTTTTCGGCACAGTTCACACTGCTATGAAGGTGAATATGAAGGTCTACGAGAGGGCAGGTGGGTTTCAGGAACCCTGCAGAAGGTGGTGGCTGTGACTAGAGGCCACCCACCATGGCCTGGTACCAAATGCCACCTCTGTACAGCAGACAGCCTCCTACAGAGGCCCAGCCTCTGGATCTGGCCCGTGGGTGGGATGTCCCTCCAGTCCCTAGAGCAAAGATGCCCTCTTAACTGGCTTGGAGGCAGCCTACGCGAGGTAAAATACCCTCTTTCTATTTATCGGGGTCTGGGTTGTTTTCATAGCTGGGGAATAGCTACACTATTTTGTTTTTAAGCTGCCGCAGATACTGGTCAGCTTCATAGCTATACCATAGTCTTATCCTATAATTTTCCCTTCTATTTGTTATTTATAGACCAATCATCTAAACCTAGTGACGAGAGAATGGATCTTTTACAGCTGATCTGTTTTCCTGAAAATGCTAGCAAATCTTTTTTTGTTCTAAAAATACAGAGATAACTTCTGTATTCTGTTTTGCCACAGAGGGTCACTTCTGATTGCTCATTAGATGTTGTATTTGGAAAACAGCCTCTGTGTTCCACTCCTCAACTGTGGGGAAATTGCATTATTAGCAAGATCACACAGAATGAGAAGCCTCAGTGAGTCTAGGTAAGATAAAGCAAGCTAATAGCAGATGCAAACTAGAGTAATAATTCTCCAACCTTAGAATGTATCAGAATTACTTGGGAAAACTTGGGAAAACACAGATTCCTGGGGCCTCATTTCCAGAATTTCTAAATCAGTAGGCCCAGGGTGGGGCCCAAGAATGTGCATTCTGACGAGGTGCACCTGAACAAGTGATGCTGGCAATACCCATCCCAGGACCACACATTGAGAACCATTGTGGATTTTCACATTTATTTTTGATGAATTCTATTTCCATGTTAAACTATGTTTAAGAAATCAGGTCTTTATAAGATTTCAGTACCATATAGTGTTACTCTGCTAGAGAAAGGTAAGATTCAGTTCTTTTTAACAAGCATTCCTGTGAGCGCACATATCTGAGAGTGAAAAACATAAAGCCTTAAGATGTTTCGCAACCTTGAATATTCACAGCAACTGCTGATACAATTTTTAATGACTTGATTTACTTCCTATAGTCTCTGGAAAAGGACCAATTTAATAAATGCTCATCAAAATTATATCTACGCAAACACATAAAAAACTTTCCAGCCTGTTTACCACAGAAAAGTTCATGGGAACCAAGCAGAAATGGGGGCTTCATCAATGGACACTTTTGTGAATTACCTGGAGACAGAGACGCACTCTTTCTGTTGTAATTGCCGAGTATAAGAACAGTATGTGCTTGGAGCTTCTGAGCATCAGTGTGAGGAAGAAGGTCCACTAGAGGATGAAACCCACTTACAGGAAAAGCAAAGCGGAGAAATGGAAAGAGGGAGAGGCAGGGAGCGGGGAGGAGTCAAGTCAGAGAGACGGACCCTGCTAATGACATCGAATGTGATATGGGCAGAAGGAAACCTTTCTCGGGTTAAGCCATGATGTTTTTCAGGTTGTTACCGCAGTCAGCACAGCCTGATAAACACACCCAAGCACATGTATAGTAATGTATACCGCTCTTCCCAGTGCTCAGGACTGGATCTTCTAGTCTGTGTTTCTACTTTAGAAAGTAATAAAGGACACACTTTTTTTTGGAGGAAGTTTAATACATAAAATAAAAACTCCAAACTAGCATTATTATAAAATATAGTTTAATTTCACTCTTTTTATTTGCCACAAAATTTAAAAAATACCCACATACAGGCAAGAGCAAGTGAAATGGAAAAGAGCTAAAAATTGTATAAAAGACAGATCTAAACTCAGGATAGTGTGAGCAATGACACATACACCAAAACGTCTCAGACGAGCTCAGAAAGCATCTCCCAGGTTGGATGGGTTTTTCTTTCTAAAGACAGTTTTTATTGGAGCCACAAGTGGAAATGTCTCTAGTTCAGAATTCTGATTTTATGTGGAAAGGATCCGCTACGATTTTTCTTAAAAAGCATTTCTTATGAAACAGAGGCAGACTTATAGGCACAAAAGTCATAAATGCCTCTCCTAGGCCCCATGGAACTTGGAAAAATTAATCTAATGCAAACACAGCCCTGTAAGAATGGGACAGTGACACCTAGCGGCTACCAGCAGGTTTTCTTTATGGCTTCTGATAATTCTAGATGTCAGCCCGGCTTGTGCCCACAATACTGTGCTTGGCAAATCTGAGTCTCTAATTCCAGAGCCCAACGGTGACCTACTTGAGGGGTAGATTCCTCTTTAGAGCAAGATCTGAAATGGACCCTCTAAACGTGGTCCAAGACCTAGAGAACGCCTGTTTCATACACCTGTGCCCTAGACTCCACAGAGATTCCAGTGAAGACAGCCTTTTCCCATTGTGACACTGTAATCAGACACTTTCTTTTAATTCCATGTATTTACCACAAGTCTGCTCTGTATCTCCCTGTTTATCAACTGATTTCCAAATTTAGTGACTACCATAATGTGTCAACATATACCTCAAGTTTTATTTGACTTCAGGCTAATAAAGTATCTAACACTTTCAAGTTTACTAATTTCAAAAAGTTTTAAATTTGATCCATTGATAGAAGTTCATTGTTATCTGAATCAAGGGTCAATAAATGTCCTTTAAACCATAATATTTAAAGGTACATATCATACTTATGGTATAATGTTTGGTCTACTTAAATAATGTCCACGTAATAAAATGTTCTAGAGCCGGGCAGTAGAACAGAAATGTAATGTGTGCCACATGTGTAATTTAAAACTTTCTGGTAGCCACATTAGAAAAGTGAAAAAATAAAATTAACTTTAATGTTTAATTCAGGATATCCGAAATACTATTTGAACGTGTCATCCATATAGATTATTAATGTGAGGTTTTGAATTCCTTTTTTCTATATGAAGTCTTTGAAATCTGGTATGTATTTTACATTCACAGCACACCTCAGTATGTATCAGCCACGTTTCAAGGGCTCGGTTGCCACACATGGCCAGTGGCTATCATATGAACAGCACATTTCTAGCTGTTCTGACTAACGCTCGAGTCCTGTGGATTAGAACCCCAGAATCGGAACCGGAAGTAAACTGGGATGAAACTTCTTTTTACAAATAAGGAAACTGAGGTACAGAGACTTTAAACGGCTTGCTTGGGGTCACACAGCTAAATGTAGGTTGAGCGGGCATTCTTCCTGATGCCAGGCACTCCTCCCACTCCACTACATGACTGTAGGTAATTCTTAGAATTAAAAACAAAAATAGAGAGTATTCTTTTTATGATCGTTTCATTAAATTTGCAGATATTTTTCATCAGAGGGCAAGAAATTAATTGGTAGGGAAAAAAGGAAAAGAGTGTAAACCATGAAAATATGTCACTCCTGATAGCAATCATATGTAAATAGAATGCATTTTTGAAGAAAGCACTGAACTTAGAGCTACAGTATCATACCATGTATGGACTGGATTCTGGGTCCAGGGCATGGAGATAAATATCAGAGTGGGCTACCAAAGGATCAAAGCATCCAACTGGCTTTCCACCCACAGGTCTATGCAATAACCCCTCCTCTTGCAAAGAGAGAGATGCTACTAAGCAAACTGCAATGGCCAGATTCCAGAAACTGCCTCTCAGACCCTTGCGTCGTGAGGGTTCGCCCCACCTGCTTTGGAGGTCATGTGGCCACAGTGACCTATCCCGCTACCACTGTCTGAGGCCAACTCTGAAGGACAAGTCCAGCCAGCAATGGCTCAGACCCCTAACATGTTACATTTGTAGGCAGACGCCCCTGCCTGACTTAAGAGAACAAATGTGATCACTTAAGCTTCATCAGACTTAACCATCATACTCAGGCTGCCACAGATCAACCTCCCCCATTTTGTGGGGTTCCTTTGGTTTATTCTAAACCTGGGTGTCTCTCAAGTCCTCAAGTGACTGTCAGAACCAGGAGTGGTGCTGCCCCTCTGATGTTGCTGGAACATTCTATCAGCTCAAGACAGCAGGCCAGGACACCCTTGCCCACACGGCCACTGCGAATGTCACGCGTGAAGGGACGTTTGCTTTTGGTTGTTGCCTGTTACTGTGTTTGCCATCAACCCATCGGAACGGTCTGATCTATTACTTATACTTAGGAAATACGCAAGGTCGAAAGCATGCTCTGTTTTGGTGACAGGCTCTGAGGGAAATCTGCTGGGAAGGCACATACAGAAAAGGAAAACTGGGTTTGATCCCTGCATCTGAGCCTCAGATTTTTCCCACTTATTTTTACTGGTGGGGCACAAAACTGAATATATGGGAACACACTTGGTCAACAAGGAAGAGCCATAAAAACACAGGCATCATGGAAGTGTGATCTTCAAGAGGGTAGATATACATACAGCATTTTAAATGTTCTTAATTCTTACACTCAATGTGAGCCACCTCTGGATTAATTACTGGTTTAAAAAGTGCTCTCTATTTTTAATTACAGCTAGAAAATCGGCTTTTAAATTCTCTCTCACTGCCTCATGGTTTTTAACAATGTACTTACTACTGCCTGTAACCAAAGGTAATTATATAAATGGTAAATGTAATTGCCTAATAATATAGAGAGCCAACAACTAGTTTCTAGGCCAGTTAACTAATCATTTAACCAGTGAGGCTACTGCTTTCCCAAATGTGCAGTAAGAAACGGGGTTATGCACATTAAACATTCAAAGACATATGAACTTAATTGTGACGTTGCACAGGCATTTAAAGCTGCCTGGACCTGTTTCCTCCTCTACGATTAATCCATTTTCAGCATCAAAAACCTGTTCATCTCTGATAAAAATCTTGAGTGGCTATATTAAGAGTATATCTTATATACAAAGGTTAATCACCAAGATCTAGGGCCTAAGATCTGTCCTTTTCTGTAAGCAAAGTTGAAACTCTCTCAGCCTTTTTTTGATTTGTTTTGTTTTGTTTTTAGATAAGAAATCACCTCACTTAAAATCCATCTCGGAGTGCTGAACTGAGCATGACTATCCTGGCTCTGTGCTTGCCCAAGTCTGCAAAGACTGAGCACAGTACTTACTGTCATTTCCACTACACACTGCACTGTCCCTTTAAATGTTCAAGTACTTACCATTTCCTGAAGGCGGATAAGCACAAACCCCAATTAAGGAAATATACAAGGAATGGAAGTGTTCGAAATTACACAGTCTTCTCTTATAAGTAAATTATAAATGAATCTTAGACACAAGGAAATTGTCAGTCCATTAAATTCCCCCAACTCTAAACAACTGCTCAAAAAAAATAAAGAAATGCCGAAACGAGGTGCATGTGATATTCTTGGTTAGAAACATTTTAGCAAAAATATAGCCACTAGTGGGTTTTAAGCCACTTCAATGAGTACGGTGGTTTATAGAAAATTCTGAGAATTTGAAGGGAAACATCACATTTCCCCAGACCCCTGGGAAAGACAGGTGCAAAGCTATAAAAATGGTAGACCATGAATAGGAATAAAAGATGAAAACAGTATCAATACAGTACAGAAGAATATACAGTCTTTTGTAAATGAAATGCTTTAAAATGTTTCTCATGTTTAGAGTTAAATCAAGTGCTAGAGTGTCCAGTGGATGTCACTGAAGTCCCCAGGGTCGCCCAGGCCCCCCTCTGCTTCCAAGTAATTCATGAAGGCAGCCATGGCTGTGTCGTCATGGTCACAGAGGGCATCAAAATCCAGCGGGGCACCTTCTCCTATTGAATTAAACAGGGCCATGTAAGTACACTTGGAGTTTCAAAAATGAGTATCCCCAAAAATGGCAAAGCAAGGCTGGATACCATACAATGTATTATTGAAGGCAAAATGTACGTCTTAAATTGCAGTAGCTTGAGATAGTTTTTAAATGGATTGCCTATTTTTATACCAACCTGCTGTCAGATAAATTGCACTTAACTCGTTTGATGAACGTAAGTGACCTAGTCTACAAGTTTTCTGACAGCCCTAAAAGGTACAGACTCCCAGACAGTTGGAAGCTGGGGGCTGGGGTTTACTTACGTGTGTATATATAGAGCCTGGAAGGAGAAATTTTACTTTCATCTGCCTTGTGAAAGTATTGTTTGTTTAATCCCATCATCTCCCAAAATCCAAAAGACTCTAAAAAAGGGGAGTCCCCAGGTGTTTGATTGAAAAAGGAAATAAGGAGAAACCATGGAAAGGAGATTTAAATCAGAGACAAGGAAGAGGTTCTAGAAATTAAAGATTAAAACACAGCTACAGATTAACTGAGGTTTTCTAGGTAGCTGTCAAAGTACAACAGAATTTGAGGTGATTAATACATGGCTCTGTGTGAAGTGATCACCATGTTCCTTCAAGTCCCTTGATTCTTTTAACATACATTTTCAGTAGATCAGAGTCAGTTATGGGGGTATAAAATTGTGTCATTTCAATTTACTTGATTTGGACTTAATGAGTTAACATGAATAATTATTACATCATAAACTTCTCAGGACTTGGCATATTTACAATTTTTTGAGAATGGACAATTTTACCTGGACAGGAGAGCTTTAGTTTTATTTAAATTGTCTGTTTTAATAATACCCATAACTGATGCAGTTGATGATCAAATTTTCAGTGACAGGTCCAAGTAACATAATACTTAAAAAACCGAGATCACTGTATTTAGGATGGGAAAATGTTCATTCTAAAACTATCTGCATTTCTAGAAATCTTCTGTACCTCAAAATGCAGTGATTAATGAAGAGTTTTTGGAAAACCAAAATGGCGGGCAGTTGTCAAAGAAAACTTACCAAGGAGTGGTTCTTGACTGTGGGGAGCAACAGCACTCTGGTTTTGCTTTGTGGCCCCGAGCTCCCCTATTTCAGAAGGACTTAGTGTAATCAGCTCCTTACTTGACATCTGAACAGGCAGAATAATAAACAGTGAGTTTCCTACTATATTAGGGGAAACAAAGATCTCGTAGCAGTTTTCAGATGTGGCCCTGCCACCATGGCTGTCAACAGCACGGCAGCCCTGTGCTAAGAACTCCACAAGCATCATCTCGTTTCATGCCACAGATGTTGTGAGGTCAGGATTCTGAGGTCTAAAGAGGCTACCCTCTTGCCCAAAGTGTTGGGGCCACGAATTCTAACCCAAGTCTCCCTGACTCCGAAGCCCCCACACTATTCACAGCCGTAACTGAGTTACATATATAAGGAGAAGTTTTGGATTAAGAAGAAAAGCTATTTCAGTTCTTTTTTTTTAATGATGGTAAAACTATATCTCACATGAAACTAACAATATGAAATACTGCTTTGGAGAAGGGAATGGATTAAATCAGAGACTCTCACCAAAAAGTCATCACACTCTTACACACAGTTACAGACAAAACAATTTAATGTTCAATGTAGCCTATCAAACGAAGAAATCATTTACCTATGTTGTCTTATTAAGTTGTTGAACTTCACCAGAGAATGCCTAGGTAAAATACACTACTTGGAGATTTTTGTGCGTTACAAGGACTTAAATCCCTGTTTCTAGCATGTTGCCTGGCACAAAACGTGTACCCAACAAACATTTGCTAAATGTATGAGTAAAACTTGAAAATACTAAGTCAAAGGTCTATATGAGTATAAACAGATACTTTCAAGTTCCTTTTGTCCCTGGTCAGATTTAATGTCTCTTTTCTCCTACATTATTATACCACTTAGTTTATATACCTACTTTAGAGGTTTTAGTTGTCTGGGATACATCAGAATTACACTGCAGTGAACCTTTCAGATACTCAGCACTATGGTTAGTCATTTTTGTGTATGCAACAACACACTTCAAATAGCTCGTATTTGTTTAATTGAATTAAGTAGTAGGTAATACTTAATTTGTAGCTTATATTATTTCAACTTTTTTCCCGAGACCATAAGGAATACAGTTAATTCACTGAATTGAAATCTATTAAAATAACACACAATATTAACTGCCATTTATTGAGCACATGTTGTGTACCAGGCACTGTTAAAGTTTTTGTTTCTTTGTGTATTACATCACTGAATTCATACACCCCTCCAAGAGACTGGGGCTCTTATTAATTCGTTCTTTACAGATGAGGAAACTGAGGCACAGAGTTTAAATAACATGTAGGAAGGGACCCAGTAGTAAGTGTCTGAATCACAACTTGGACCCACAGACTCTTAACCACCATTCTACATTGCCTCTTAAAAACTATGAGTTATCTAGAAAGAGTTCATTTTTTTATAGGATGGCTTTTGTTCTCAAAAGAAATCATCAGCAAGCAGCAAATTTCATTGCTCATTTATTTCATGAATGTTATCACTTACAGTTGCACTTACATTCTTGCTGTCTGTAGTGTGAGTCTCTTTCAATAAATCTGTTGGACTTGAATCATCAAGGGATGACGAAGACTGTAACCTTCAACAAGTGATACATAAATCATTTTATGTGTCTGCTTATACATAGTTCAGAAAAATTTCCCCTCTGAATACATAATCTACTGATAAAAACCACAGTGAGGAACATGAGACTGAGTATTACGACAGTTTTGATAATCAGACAGACTTGTTCAGGGCCAGATTTATTTTTGACTATGGAGTGTTGAAAGCACTCTACAATAAATAGAAATATAAAACTCTGAGGTGAAAGCTCTTAAGTAGCTCATGCTACCTGGCTTAATGTAGCACGTGGCAAAGTAACGGAATAACAACACAGTTCAAAATAGGCATTCACATCAAGTTCCTATACGTGACACCGAAAAGCAGAACTAGCAGTAAAGAAAGACTTCCTAACATCCTGCAGCCTTTTTCAAAGTGGAAAATGTGTCGTGTTGGTACTGTGATAGGTCATCCCCAAGTACAGAATCAATGAAACACATAAAGGCATCAATACAGTCATGTGCTTTGATCACAAATCTCTTCAAGGCTTAAGATCTACAACTGACAGCGTCACATATTATTAAACGCTTAGTTATGTGAAACATAATGGCATGAGCGTAACTTTATGTCTTTATCTACTCCCAAGAAGGCAGCTGACAAGAAATTATAGAGGGAGGAATTAAAACACAGGAATGACATGAATTAGGGAGGAAAAACAGATGAAAGGATGAATGATATACCTTGGGGATTTTTCACAGGGCGGTCAACGTAAAGAGCTTGGCTGGCTTCTCATTCTGTGATTCATCATTTAAAATCACCGCTTGCTCAAGTAGCCTTTGTTTAAAGATGAACCCCACCCCCATGCACTTCACTACCAGATTAATCTTCTGAAATATGGCTTTCTCCATTTTAGTCCACTGGGCAGAAACTTGCTATTTAAGTCCCTCCACTACTTGACTTCGCCTTAGTTAAAACTCCCTTTAACTGAGTGAAAAATCTGTTGCTTAGCAACCTGACTCTTCTCTCCATGAGTCTCCTTGTTTGCTGAAACCACCCACCTCCATACATTGGCAGAGGTGCCTCCATATAGAAACGCTCTCCCCACCCACTGCATCCTGGACATTCTAATGGTACCCAGGCTTGCTACATTTGGCTCAATTTTCACCTTCCTTACGATGCCTTTCCAGCATGTATGGTCAAATGATTTTCAACAATGGTGCCAAGACCATTCAAAGGAGAAAGGGGCAGTCTTTTCAGGAAATGATGTGAGAAAACTGTGTATCTACATGCAGACAAAGGAAGCTGGACTCCAACCTTCTACCATAATTTCCTTGGTGAACTTTGTCCTGTTTAGTACAAATATTTACAATTTACTCCAGAAATAAATTTTTAAGCTTTTATTATGGAAAACTTCAAAACAGATATAAAAGTAGGTAATATAATGAAATCTCATATCCCCACCAAACAGCTTCAATAAATACTCTTTCCTAATCTTGTTAAATGTATATACTCCAAACTCATACTTCCCCTCTCCTCCTAGACACTTTGCCATTTAAACTGTAAATACTTCTCACTGCAGAAATACTGATTTGATTGATCAGGGCGTGCTGCCCATTATATGACTGCTCTCTGGTGGTATTACACACACCTCTTAAAAAACTGAATTCCAAAACACTTATCTTTCTTAGAGAAATTCTGAGTTCAAAACCTGTCTGATCTAAAGGGTTTTAGATGAGCAATTATGGGCCTGTATATACACATATTCACATATATCCACACATCTTTTTTTTTTATACAAGTGGTTATAATACATATTATTTCTTCTATTTCTGTGCTTTTTTTCTATTAATCGTATAAAGCGCTTCCCATATTAGCATGAATAGAACTACCTAATTTTTAAAAGTTACAGAGTACTCCATTGTATGGATATACCATGATAAATTATGGTTATGATAAATATTTAAATATTTGAATCACTACTGTAAACAATGTTGCAAAGAACACTCTTGTTCATGGATCTTTGTGTGGCTGTGTAAGAATATTTGCTCCTGGGGTGGAGTTGCCGACTTCATGATATACACACCTATATATATATATTTTTTTAAATTTATTATTATTTTATTCTGGGGGGAGGTAATTAGGTTTATTTATTTATTTATTTTTAGAGGGGGTACTGGGGATTAAACCCAGGACCTTGTGTATGCTAAGCATGCGCTCTACCACTTGAGCTATGCCCTCCCCACTTACACACCTATATTTTTGATGGGCATTGTCAAATTGCCCTCCAAAGAGTTTGCACTAAATTTATACTCCCATGGACCATTTAAGAGGGACTGTTTCCTCTCAATCTCACCAATATTACCAAACTTTCAAATTTTTGACAGTCTCTGAAGAGAAAAAAGGTATCTCACTATTTAATTTTGTATATATATAATTTCAACTGTGAGTGGGATTGAACAATTTTTAAAGTTTCTTGGTCATTCATATCTTTTTTTCTATTCATGTCTACTCTCCAGCTTTTATTATTGAATTATTTTTACCACTTCTTTAATAACTACACAAAGTTTAATATGTATAAAATTACATAAAGGTTATAATATTTAAAATTTAGTATAAAATTTAATAACTTTATGCCATAAAACTTAATAAATTAAGATAATTAGTACAACATTTTATCATGTGAAATATATATACTTTCTGTGGTTTATTATTTGTCTTTTAACCTTGTTAACTTAATGGTTATAGTTCTGCTTAAGTTTTCAGTTTTCACACAATTAAATTTATCAATTTTTTTCCTTAATGAATTCTGGAGTTTGTATGATGTTTAGAAAGGGACTTTCCAAACTAAGTTGCTACTGTAAAGATGATTTTTCTCTTACATTATATTATTGAACTAGTTATTGCTTGCATATAGGAAACCTATTGATTTTTCAATATTGGTTTCATAAATGTAATGAAAATTTTACTTGTTAAAGTATTTACAGCAATAAAACATCACCTTTGTACGCTCAGGAGTTCATCTGCAATGTCTGTTCCAATACTACCAGCACCAAGGACTGTCCCAGTACACATGCCGGGCTCACTACTACAAGACTGCCTAGAGGACCCTAAAAAATAACAAAAGGAAAAATTCAATTGAGGACTTTAAAAAAGTATGTAACTTTGGTCAATATCTTCCTTTCAATTCAAATATATTTCCTATTTCCTTCTTTGAAAGAAAGAGACTAAAATACTAGGAACATTCATGCTTACATTATAAACATAACTCATGATGGTTTAGATGCTTGTGAGGAATGATATGAATCAAATATATGGAAGGTCACTGAGGGTTCAATCATGACCTGTGACCCTTGAGTACAGGCAGTTCCTCCTGATTTTAAACTCCACATTAAAGCCAGAGCAACGCTACTTTTTTTTTTTATTGAAGTATAGTTGATTTACAATATTGTGTTAGTTTCAGGTATAGAGGAAAGAGATTCAGTTATATATATATGTATATATATACACACATTCTTTTTCAGGTTCTCTTTCATTATAGATTATTATAAGGTATTGAATATAGTTCCCTGTGCTGTACCATAGGACCTTGTTGTTTATCTAGTTTATATATAGTAATGTGAATCTGTTAACCCCATACTCCTAATTTATCCCTCCTCCCACCCCTTTCCCCATTTGGTAACCATAAGTTTGTTTTCTATATCTGTGAGTCGGTTTTATAAATAAGTTCATGTGTATTGTTTTTTTAAGATTCTACATATAAGTGATACCATATGATATTTGTCTTGCTCTGTCTGACTCACTTCACTTAGTATGATAATCTCTAGGTCCACTGATGTTGCTGCAAATGGCAATATTTCATTCTTTTATATAGCTGAATACTACTTTAGTTTTAATATTTCCTAACATTTTTGGGTTTTTTAATGTAAGTAATACATTAAAATATTCCTGTGGAGAAAAACTAAGATAAGCAAAAACTCCCCCTTAATGCTTTTTATTAACTTATCCAACAGATATTTGAATGCCTTAATATACAAGGAACTACGCTAGCTGCAGGGGACAGATAATGGGTAAAACCATTCTTACTCTTCAAGAACTCAGTCTAGCAGCAAGCCAGTTGAGTGAACAACTAATTGCAATACAACATAAGATTATAACAGAAATGTAACTAAATTCCAAGGAGAATCACTCAACCCGCTGAAAGTCTTTTTGATTTCACCTTGAAATTCTTCCCTCTCCAAGACAAAAAAAGACAGTCACTTAATAATAACAATCTTAGTAATAAGTCGCCATCATCCAAAGCTACGCTTACCTTCTGATGACTGAGAGCTGCAAAGATGCAATGATGCTTCTCCAGTCTCACTGTGTTCCCTAGCATTAAGAAACACCATAGGTGACTTTTTATAGGTGAAGGAAATTGTTAAAGCAACATTAAGCTCTGTGCATTTGAATGACCCATTCTCGACCCATTTATGTTTTATGTACACATATTGTTAATGTCATCACAAGAGATCAAGGTATTGACTTCCACCAAATGCCATCATTACCCTGT